CTGGGTGGGGTTGCCTTTTCTAGCAAGCAAAGAGACTTTTATCGCCATTTCTTCCCTTAGTTGGGAGGTTCGGCGCAGGTGAAGGCTCTAAGTTCCGAGGTAAAGAGGAAAATTTGAGGGATTAGGGAAAAGCCAAAAGTAACCTAAAAATTTTCAGTTTTTGTAGATGGTGGAGTGCATAGTACTATTTTTAATGGCAAGCCGCGTGTAGGGTCCTGTTTTAAGTTTCTGAATTCCTTGCCTACACTTTTTAAGGACATGGACTTTTTTAAAATTTAACATAAAAATTTCTTTTGAACGTTACTACTCACGTGTTGTGCGCTTACTCACTAACCATAAAAATTTCCTCAGGGGGAAGGATACAGTTCGAGGATTGTCCCTCACACTTTGCAGGCTGCGCATATGATGTTTCTTAGCCGTCACAGCACAGTTTTGCCCTAGTAGCAAACAGCGAAAAACATGGGTCCCCACAACACATTAAAAGCGATGTCAGGAAGAAATAAACTATATTTTCTAGTAAAAATCGCATTTGCATGTAAATCTTACTCACTGTCTGCCCCCTTGGAGAAAGAAAAGGGGTAAAGTGACCGCCTACGAATGATACAGCGGTCAAAGGAAAAAGTTCCTCTGGTACTCATAAATAAAGCGAAAAGGGAGTAGGTAAACGCGAAAAGTAACTATACTGTTAAGCTGACAGAAATAATTTGAACAGCTTTCTAGATATTAACGAATGCAAAGAATATCCTTGTGCATCAGACCAACTGTGCTTCAATATTCTCGGGTCTTTCGACTGCATTGACCAGCCGTGCCCGAACGGCTACCAACTTCAAGACTTGTAATCATTGTTTATCACTTCTTAATTCAGTAAGGTTTGTATGGCACAATATAATACTTTAAGACTTCCTCTCTTGGATAACTGTTTTAGAGAGTGCATACCTAATTGCCAGAACTGTTCGTTGCCACCAATTAGAATTCACTTAGTGACGCTGCCCAGAGGTATAAGATCAGGTACATCGTTCCTCAGGCTTACGGCTTACGACACGAAGTGGCGAGTATTGTACGATACCAAGTACAGTATCAAAGCCATCAAAAGGTTCCAGAAACGTTTACCTTTTATACTAAAAGTAAGTTTCCAGTAGTTTGCTGTTCCTCACCTAGCTGTTGTTTAGAAAAATACTTTGGTAGGTGGAAAAGAACAGAGGTTGAGTTTTTCCTCCAATCTGTCGTCCAAGCCTCATTGTAAAAAAGATTTTTCCAGACGAGTCGTGGGCAAGCGATTCTGCAGAACGTTAGGCCGCTACTGGCAAACAGCCGTTACAAACTTGGTATTAAAGCCATCTCAAATTCTCCGTACACTAAAACGAGATTTAGTAGTGAATTTTTAGTATTTATATCTGTATCGGACAAAAGGTTTTAAACTTTGTTCCTCCTGTTACTTTCGTTACTTTTGTCACTTGTTTTGCTTTTTTTTTTAGATCATGATGCAAATTTTTCCTTCATTCAGTTCCGAATAATAGTGAGTAGATTGCTCTGGAAAAAGTTGCTTCCTTCACTTTTTTTGTATTGATACACTATGCTTAGGGGGCAAAATAATTTTGCTGGAGCCTTTTAAAAAAAATATGTGAAATAGAAATGAGAGTTTAACGACATCATATCAACCAGAAAAGTTCTTATGTTTGTATGCTTGTAAATTCCAGTGAAGAGGGATAATATCGATGAAAATATATAAACATAATATATAATAAATATTTATTTGCTAAATTCTGCTCCCTTGCCTCTTGGTTGCTCGCTACAGGGTTTTAAGAAGTTCCCAGCTAACACCTTCAGGGGGGTAGAAATCAAAAACTGTTTAATTCCATAGCGATCTCTTTCTTCCGCGAGTTGTTTTTTTTTTTTTGAGGAAACTACATCGTATTTAAATGTTAATGCTGTCTAATAGAAATATAAAAACAATGGGCCCTTAAAGGTTGTTTTCTCGCCAGGCATTCTGATCTTAAGGGTTCTCGTCAAAGGAAATGTGACCCAATTATAGTAAGCTGCCTGAGGCACAAAAACCGCAAGATCAAAAAAATTTACCATTACTTCTTGGTATCGCGCAAGGGCTACTGTATTAGTTCCGTTTCCTAATAGTTCTGCATTCCTCAGTTTTCAGAAGTAGAGCCATACGCTTTTTTGTCTGCCAACGGCAGGAAAGGAAGATACTTTCAATTCTCGAAACAAAACTACTTTGCAAGGAGTGTAGAAATAGAGAAAAAAACGTTCCGCTAATAGTTTGAAACTTCACATTCTGAACATTTGAATGCTCAAAAAATGCCTCTGAACTCCGCCCGAGTCGAAAAAAGAACACCAGCTATTATTAAGCTACTCATAAAGCGACTACAAAGCATTTAGAGGTATCTTAAAAGCGGTTTGCGACATTTCAATGTCGGCGCTAAAAAATTGGATCTACAGCCAAATTCCGACAGAATAAAACTTGAGAAATAAAATGTGGATTACTGACAGTCAAATGAGTTTCATCATAGAGTTTATTAGTTCTATATTTCCCAAAAAAAGTCATGATTCCTCTCCGCAATACAAATGACGCGTATCTTAAAAATATATCTAAGTACATAAAGCCACACCCATCTCTAAATTTACACAATCTTGAAGCATTCAACTCTCGCGACCTCCATATATCCAGCAGCGCCGCTCAGAGAGTTGTTAGTCAAAAGAAAACCTCATTGCATTCGATGTCAATGGCAGATTTCTAAATTAGGTCTGAGCGTTACCAACCCATCCTCAATTCCCAACTAGCTTTTGTCTGACGCTAACACCGTAAAAAAAAACGTACATACACATACACACGAAAGAACAGCCCTAACACAAAAGCACACAACCCACACAAATGCCCCTTTTTCAAGCAGTCATTTTAAAACCAAATTTTGCGGCAGTAATGACGTAAAAAAAGCTATCTTGCTTTTTGTAGCTCAGTATTTGCCATACTCAAACAGCAGAAAAAGATAAACAGTTAGTTTTTGGAAACAGTACAGCAGGTGATTATAAGACACATTTTTAGCGTTTCATGATTTTAATATAGTATCACATAAAAGTCATAAAGTGCAGTAAAGATAAGCAAATCATATGAAACATAGAAACGAACAATTAAATCTGTAAAATCTTACACTGAGATGCAACAACAATATGAAGACGAAATTAGACCTAACTAGATACCACAGATTGCACAGGGTAAAAAAAAAGCCAATGATCTTAAAACTGACAAATACTCTTTACCCTTTCTATCTTGAAATGATCAATTATAGACAATAAATAAAACTTTCAGACGTTCACAAAAGGACTTATTTTTAAACAAATTGACCAAACTTCCAGGCTAAGGAAGCATACAGAAATGACAGGACTTTACAAGTGTGCAAGTTACCTAACCTCCACCTTCAATTCTTCATTTGCAAAAATTTAAGCTTTTAGAGTTCAAACATAACTGGCACCAATAAAAATTAAGCAAGAACAAGAGAAATGCGATAATAGGCGGAACAAGTTTCCAGCGTCACTTTTAAGACGTGTTAGCATACTTACAAAGTATACCCGAATGAACGCAAACAAAATTGTTTCCATCAGTCTACTAAAAAGTTCGACTTCGATACAAAAGAAGTTTTATAACTAAACAACAACTCTTCAAAATGAGTTTGTTCAACCCACAAGTAGACTCTGTAAACCCAGATACCTGTTAAACATTTTTGTACAATTGATATTATGCCATGAAAGAAGAAAATCTCGTGGAACAATTACGATACAAGAACCAATCTAAAATCAAAATGCAAATTTAAAAAGAGATAAAAGAACGAAAAACGAGAGGTAGAAAAATGTATAGAAACATGGGTCAAATTCAAAGGTACAGCAAGATTTTTAAAACAGATAGGCAATCACACAAGCACTAACCGTAAATTACGCAACATAATTGTATCTACGATGATCTTCCTTATCCCTCGAAAGATATTCTCGTTCAATTAATGATTCTATTCTCTTTTTAACCAATTGCGGGTTTGGTAAGAACCTATGTTTCAACTGCTGCGTCACCTTAAAATCAATTTTTTCTTCAATCGGTAGTTCACTTTCAAGAAAAATTAAATATGTACGAGCTTAACAGGCGGAAGTCTAAAACCACATATCAAAATCTAGTATACTAAAATAACCATGTTGTGCACTAAGAAAGAAAACGTACCTCACTAACAAGCATATTATGCATCAAATTCTTCCTAGCCTTCATAACACGCACAATAGCAGCCTCCACTTCGTGTTTACGATCTTCCTCCACCTAACAACAGAACCACGTCAAACCAGGACAATAAAATCCAACAAAAAAAAACCAAAAAACTTTACAAATTATTCCGTAATCAACTATTAAACTCAGGGAGAGCAATAATATGATTTTAGTTTTGAGAAAAGCACAAGTCTTTTCTAAGATTTCTAAAAAAAACCTTTGTTCGCGTCTCTTTCCTCTCAGGTTCAGCATCAGCCCGTCCTGACACCATTTGTATCTTAATTCTAGTAAGTTTCGACGTAAAAGCATCGTTCACCCAAAACTCGTCAGTGTTTTCTTAAGAAAAAATAATTAATCAAGGAAAATGAAGTTATGCACAAAAAACGACATTTCCATGACCATAGTAATCCACATACTGCAGAACAATGTCAGTAAAAACGGTAAAGATAGAATGTTTTTAAATCATCATTTGGAACCCATCTTGACCAAGGAAAAAACCGAAAAGTTTTCAAATTTACTGCCGTTACCAAAAAAACTACTGACCGCAAAGTAAAATACAGTATTAAACGCGGTTTAAAGACAGGATAGGACCAAAAAATATATGCCTTTAAAAATAAAAACAAACCAATTTCTCGACCATGTCCTTTACGGCATAAAACTCTTTGGGCAGTCTTACCCATGGCTAAAGATAAAAGTGACCTCTTCAACTCCTTCTCAGGTATCTGAGTTTCAGCCAAAAGCTCCTCAAATAAAAAGCTAAATAAAATTTAATACTATTTCAGAGAAATTGCTAAAGTCTTGATATTGTTTCTGCACCGTACCTCGAATGTTATTTTCGATTTCACATTGAATCGCAAGAGTACGCACATCTGATAAGTACTGACCATCAAAATCTTGTGTTCCTCTTTTGCACGAGGTGCAACAGACGGCCCAGCTAAGTCTGATTCCTAAAAGACTCAAAATGTGTCAGCAAGAAACATCTCAATTAACTGCAAGTACCTTTTGATACGTAGTTCTACATTTTGCAAATGAGAAAAATACATGTTTTTTTTCGTTATTACTGCCCTTGTCTGTGCGAGTTCAAATAAATGAAATTGAAAAAACGTTTTGTAATAAAATTTCAAAAATTGCCAAAGCAAAAAAATCCTAACTCTATCAACATGAAATTATACCTGACCATTTTGAAACAGAAGTCAGTAAAATAAAATTAGCTTAAAAAATATTAAAATTCCAAAATAAATAAAACATTTAAAACCTGCTGGCTTAATTCATCGGTATTTGCACTCGCCCCGTAAAACACAGCTTTAACATCAGCATGTCCCAAGACCGGATTAAGTGCAATTCTTCTTCCACTGTGTTTGCTTAGATAAAACGTTTTGAAACTTTCAAATGACTGTTCAGCCGTCGGTGGTAAAACGCAGCTAGGGGCAGCCTGAGTAGGCCAATAACCACAAGTAAGAACCCTCACGGTTATTTCAACTGGATCGCGAGTCTGAATGTCGGAAGGTCGTGTTGAAAATGCCCAAGAACAGAAAGAACTTTAAAAGCTTTTTAAGAAAAGTTATTCAGAAGTAACCAATCTCAAAAAATTTAGCAAGACTTTAGCGACGTACATATTAAAAAAAGCAAGAGAATAATGTACTTGTACAGATGAATGAAGACAAATTAGAAACTACCCGATCTACATTTTCTTTATATTCTCTGAAATCTGACATCAAAGTATTGGAGACTTCCATATCTTTAAACATCCCCTCGAGTTTTGACGTGAACTGACAACCGCATTCAGTCTGAAAAAAGATCTTAAAGTAGACGACACATTTTCGAGCCGAATATCAATAAATAGAAAATCTGGAGAAGTAACAACCAGGTGCCCACTGAACCTGATTTGCTTCGAGTGCAAAATAACTGCGAATACAATCATAATTACCTTTAATCTGGCCACCATTGCCTTTTCAGCGTCATCCGACACACTTTTCTGTAACAACAAACGTTTCGCCAAGTGAGATTTGTAATATCTGAAAATACCCAATAAAATATTTTTTATGATCAGACATATTTCAAAAAATCCCACCTCTCGAAAACATCCTTCTCTTGTAAAAAGCGGAACAAAACCATTGATTTATCCTGTAGCGACTCCTGTTCCGTGTCATTTAGCTGGAAATAAAAATACAAATTCTTGAAACCATAATATAATTTATAGAGAGTTAAGAAAAAGTCAAGACCAACAAGGATGTGAAGCACCATAAAAATGAATACCTGAATACCTAATTATGTTCCAAAAAACTTTAGAAAAAAGGAAGAAAGAGCAAACCATCCTCATCCCTTTTTTCAGCTTGTCGTCCATATATAATGAAAGGTACTCGGGACTCTTTGGGTTCAAATTCAAGAAGTGTTCGAAATCACTTTGTATCTTTTGCTTGAACGATTTATCACTGTCAAAAGCATTAATTAAAAAGTGGTCAAATCGGTCCTTCAGATCTAGTAAAGACTGAAAAAAGCAAATTATAACCACAACCAAATGTCACTACTGAACATTCAAAGTCATCTGCCCACCCAAATAATGTGAAACCACATAATGAAAGCTGTTAGAAAGCGGCTATGCCTAATTGATATAATGAATCCTCATGAAAGCTTTACAAAGTATAGTCTTGTAAATACAGGTAAAACAATACCTGAATGTAGGCAATAGGATTTTTTCCAGATCCAGATTCTAATTCGTTTGAATCTGCCACTAAAGCTTCACCTTTTTGCCGGAGATACTTGCTAATACACTCTGTCATCGTTGGAAGCCCATTGGGTACCCGTTTTAAAAGTTTGTACAAACGACGTAGATCTTCAAAATTCATGAAGTATATCTAATGCGCAAAACAGCTTGAAAGCAAAGAAGATTAAAAAAACTTTTGAATTCAAATACACGGAAACATCCTTCCTAAGTAAATGAACTGAACGATTATCAACAAGCGATAGTCTGTTTCACCTTCAATCCGATCATTATTGAGCATATGTACAACACCACTGTTTTCCATTTCCACTATGGTAAACATATGTTTATTTATAAGTTCTTCTTCTAACACCTTAAAATGATCAATGATAAAAATTAACAAACTACCAGTAATAACAAAAAATAATGAGGTTACAAAAAGTCATTCTAGCCAGGCAAGAAAAAATTGGTAAATAAAATAGTACTCTTTACCCTTCTGTCTGGAAGAGATAAGATTTTTACAAACTAACTTGGAGAATCTTCACTCCTGTAGCTTTATCAAAATAAAGCTTTGCACGGTTCCCTTCTTCTATAATACGTTCTTCCACTTTTTTAACGTACACAGAGGCACTACTTTCAGCCAGAAACCTTTGGCTTTCAGCACGATAATATTCAGCAGATATACGTAGGAAAGGCTCTTCAAATTCATCCTCATAAACTCTTCTCGAATCGAGTCCCAAATCAATTAACATAGAGCATGCATTTTTAACTCCCATCCTAAAAAAAAGCAACTTCAAAAATTAAACAACAACCTATAAATCCAAAAAAATGAAATGCACCTAGCTACTCACCAATTATTTAAAGAAATTAATCCCGAATTTATGTAAAAAAAAAAGTTTTCGTGAAGAAAGCCTTTGTTCAACTACTTAAACTCAGTGTTTTCGAATAGGTGCAAAAATACGTAGAAAAAGATATAAACTTAAACCGGTTACAGAGTAACAAATAGCAGACAACATATTTTAAATTAAATTTGATGCAGATATGAAAAAACCTCAGCGTAAAACTCACTTGTCAATTATTTCTCCTTTACGTTCGGCAGCAATCATTTTCAACAAAATGTTCCTAAGCGTATCACCCAGGGTACCGTAACGTATAATTTCATCTCTAAATATCGCTAAACCTAAATTGTAAACCGGAGCAACGTTATGCTGCTGAACGTATACTCGATCCATGTACCTGAGAAACCATCTTATTATTTGAAAGTTCTGATTAAAGACGATTACCTCTACTGAAAACTAATTTCTACCTTGAAGCAGTATATTCTAGTTCTGAAAATGTTACCCGTTACTGAAACTAATAAAGTAAAAAATCCAAACAGTCTTGCAAAACAATAAAAGTACTAAACACAATATCTTAAAGCGAAATATTGAAGCTTTAAGCGTAGTGAATTATAACTTCATTACAAAAAAGTGCAACTCTTTTTTTTTCAGTTTAAACGAACCTTAAACGAGAATTCTGCACATTTCAAAAAAAAAAAATTAAACAGAAACGTACATGAGAATATCACGAATCATAACCATAGCGGTGGTGTGATCTTGCCAGGCACGGTTAAGGGTCTCCAGGAAATTTCCGTTTACAGCTTGCTCAATTTCTGCCCGCACCTAAATTTATTATGCATCAAAAGAAACTGGCTTCTGCAGTACAAAAAGCAAGCTACCCTTCAAACTTTACGAATGCACGAAAGTTTGAGTAACTCCACTGCTGAAACTTGATGTTTTAGGTAAAAACAAAAGCAAAATTAGAAGATACGAGAAATTAGACTGCAGACACTATCTTTTTCGTTTTACCAAGCTTTTTCTGTCAAAAAATAGATTCAAAGATAACCGTTGTGCGTAGATGCTCTGTAACTACTTCTTTGAGACCATTATACAACTTCTCTCCATGTTTATGCAGCACCATCGTGTACGCATTTCGGTACAGCTCTTCAAAGCTTAGCCCAGAATTGTTCTTATGTTGAATTTCTTGAATTGCACGTTTCAGCAAATCCCAAATCTGCTGTACATACTTTTCGTCCATAGTTGTCTAAAATTATCGGCTGAGCCCAACATTACTCAGATATCAAATAAAACAATAAAAGAAATTTTACTCTCAATAAAAATAAGGAGTTAAAAAGAAGTTCTCAGTAATGACTCATCTTTTAAAATGTCCATAAAAACAGAAATAAAGTGTCGCTTTATTTAATGTTCAGAGGCAAGAATACCTAAGTACAGGAGCAAATGCCGAATTTCAAGGTCAATATACTCCTGATGAACTAATTGGGGAAAAATTTTACATAAAATAGTTTTTGGCACTGTCTTAACATTATTTCGGGCACCTAGAACATAAGTAAAGAACCAACAACCACTAGCGATAAAAAACAGGAAATCTTACAATTAAAACTGAAAAAATTCTCAGAAACAAACATACTGGACCGTGAGAATAATCCAGAGAAGTTAAGAAAGTAAAATCTCCTGACTGGGGTGCAACAGCCATATTTCACCCAAGAAAAAACTAATGAATCTCTTCGGCTACTGGCAACAAATGAAAAATTTGAAAAAATTAAGACCAAAAGCAGCTGCGACCGACGTTTTTGATCAAATTAACTATAAAATCAATACTATTTGAAAAAAAGCTCAGCGTGATCAACAGCAGAAAACGGGAGGGAGGAGAAGGAGGGGAACAAATAATTACTTACCGGAAAAGCTCGAATCCGCATTTTGTTTCCTGACGTGCCACCCGACCCGGTAGCATTGCCAGGCCTGGACGGCGCTGGTCGACTCATGTCCTGGATCCTACAAAAAGTACAATAGAGCAACACCGCCTCTTCCATCAATCTGTCAAGGTAAAAGACTGAACTCCATTTCTTAGACAACAAAACACTGTAACGTAACAAAAATAGTGATAATTGTGATCAAATACAAGAATAAACTAGCTCATGTTAAAACAAAACAAACAAACTTTCTGTGAAGCAGAAAAATAAACTAACACTGAGTAGCGATAAAACATTGTACAATTCATGCAACATGTAATACCAAGAACATACAGTAAAAAAATTTCTTAGTATAATCAATATTTAGAACAACAACAAAAAGAAAAAATGAAAACAGAATCAAAATATTTCACAACACCTCCCTAAGTGTATGACAGCTTTGCTAAAAACCAATTTCCCCTCTAAAAAACACTAAACACCACTGGAGAACTATGAGTAATAACGAAGAACACAGCTGCAAAAACTGAAACTCATACGAAGATAAAGACTACTTGCTGCCTTGGCGAGGAAGATGAAGTGAAGCGAAACAGAAATCAAAAAAACTACCTCACCCTTAAAGTTTACGATATTCGAAACATCATCATTGCATTTACATGGAGCATATAAGCCGTGTAACGCACCACCGCCTTCGAATGAACAAAATCCAGAAGGTAATATAAGGAAAAAAGATTAAGAAAAAAGAAACTTCACTTCAAAAAGCAAAAAGTTACAATGATAATAAGTACAGAAAAGTTTTTTTTATTTTTTGAACTATGCCAAACAAAACAAAACTAAATTAAAAAAGAGAATGAAGGGTTGAGTGTACAGAGTGTGTAACGCCCGTAAATCGTGCAATAAAGTATCTCTCTCCTCAAACTAAAGATATTATTGATTTGCAAATGCACATTTACAATTAAAAAAAATTGATAAAAATTTTTGTCAAACGGTTATTGTCTCTAACATATAACCGAATTATTTGCTCCTCAATAAAAACTTTTTAATCTGCACACAGCAACAAAACAAGATCTATCGACTATCATTCTTGCTTTCAATTTGGCAGCAATAACAACCAAAGAAAAAATACGTAAAAATTAAGAATAAATTAATAAACTTTTATCTACCCGTTACCAAATTTACTCCTAAGAACCGAGAATAATCCTAAAGAACCAAACATACAGAAAAATTGCTGGGAAAAAGTCCTTGCTTATATTCTATACCCAAAAAGGAAAAAAAAAAATCTAAACAATAAAATATAACGACTGTGAATGATGAAAGTCGCTAAAGTCTGTCAATCTATTAAAACAGTGTATAAAAAGAGAAATACAAGATCTTGGGGAACTGTTAGACAAGAAAAAAAAAAATAAATGAATAAATAATTAAGAAAAAAAACGCTTAGTTGTTCCTAAAAGATTCACCTCCTATCTAATGGCGTAATATCAGAGATAAAACAAAGCAGATCTTGTGTACAATCCAAAAGAAAAACTGTGACAGAGTAAATCCACTGTATTTCCTTCCTCTAATCTAATCACATCAAATGGATACACATGATGCAAAATCGAACCTCTAAGTCAGTGGCAGTTCCAACAGCAAGAAAACCAGTGGAAACAAAGCCCACAGGTTTAAGAAATTATAAACCAATGTTTCAAGAGTCGGAGCTAAAATTACGGAAAGACCATAAAGCTCTATATAAAAATTTAGCTGTTCTACTTTTAACCCAAACAAATCAGAATAGAACACAAATACAAAAAACAAAAAACAGT